TATAAAAATACACCTTTTTGCTTTTTTGAATTTAAAAATCCCCCAGTCCAAGGACATACTTCACTAGCAAATATTTTTTTTTTCCCTTACCAACTCTGAAATTCATCTTTCTTGAGAGAAGCTCTGGCCCTAAAGAAATCACAGAAAAAGATCTAGGAGACCACAACAGGCTTGGAACGCAGCTGCTGAGTGTTACCAGCAGAAGAATCAGGGACTGGGAGGGTGGCAGAAAACACTTATGTACCTTTTCATTCAGTGGATACTGCATGACAGTGTTAAACAGAAGTAATCCCACGTCATAAATACAATAACCCCAAACAATCCAAAAATAGATAGAAGGGAAAGGAAGAAAGGGAGGGGAGAAAAAAAAAAAAAAAGAAAAAAGAAAAAAGGAGAGAAAAAGAAATAGTCTAAATCCTTTTAATAGTTCTTTTGCTGAGGGTGTTTTTTCACTTCTTTAAAAAGATACAGTCAAAAGCTCTCGGACAACAGGAACATGTAGCCAAGCTCCTTTTAGAGCTCCAATYGCTGCAGCTCTGGCGTGATGCAGCAGTTTCCAGCACCACGTGGAGCCAGAAAGCGCCGGTGGCCTCCACCAGCAGGGATGGAGGAGTTCCGTGTCTCACCCAGATGACTGTTTGAAAAGAGACGGCCATCAAGAGGTCTGAAAACCCTCTAAAGGCTGGAGAGGCACCGGCCACGTCTCCTCACCCTCCACAGAGTCCCATCCCGAGCAGTTCTGTACAACGAAGATGACTTCAACGCTTTTCTTCTTTGTACGGTCGCGTACCTAAACCCCAACGTCCGTCTGGGTTGGTCCTGTCCTCAGCCAACGCTCCAGCACTCCGCCCGAGCTCCCAGGGAAAGGCAGAGTCACAAACCCCACAAAGCACAAGTTCCAGCAGCTGCACGGCCAGGCCTGGCCTCTCCTCCGTGGTTTTTGGGGAGCAGCGTGAGGATCATCACCGCTGCGCGCTGCCTTCCACGGGGAGGATGGCGTGGTGCAGGTTCCGCGTGTGCTTCGAATCCAGCGCCTCGTGCTCTTCCGTGAAGCTGTCCGGGCTCGCCGCCCCGTCCAAAGAGCTTCCACAGCTAGAGTTGGGAGACAACATGTCCTGCAGGAGRTCTTCCTGGACTATCCCCGAGTCTTTGTTCACTTTGCCCCTTTGGTTTCCTTCTTCCTCCTGGTCGTTGAGCAGCTTGGCCAGGAAGTTGATGTATTTCATAGCCAGGCGCAAAATCTCGTTCTTGCTGAGTTTTTTGTCGGGCGGGTGGGTGGGGATGAGCTTGCGCAGCTCTGCGAAGGCCCCGTTGACGTTCTGCTGCCTCCATCTCTCCCGGCTGTTGGTGAAAATGCGGCGGACAACTTTCGTGTGGGGACCTGCAATTGCAACCACGCAGAGTTAGGAGCTGGGCTTAACAGGTCAGGTATTACTTCACTGAATAGCTCACTGTGTCCCAAATCAGCTAACTGATTGATTTTGGTAAGGTTTAATCAGCRAGGCAGGGAAACAAGAGTTTCCAGCTAACTGGAAGCTGACCTGGAGCTTAGAAAGCTGTAACTTCAGTCCAGAGGAAGGTTAAAATAGAGTTGCATCTCTTTGGATGTCTCCTCMGATATCTGAATTTGCCTCTCCAAGGAAGAAGGCTTAGGCCATGATATATGTGCAGAAAACTGCTATAGTTTTAGGGTAACTAAAAGAGTAACTCAGCAACAAAGATCCTATTCAAATTTTATCTCACTGAACGGCTTTATTTTCTATCCCAAAAATAGTCTAAAGGACACAGCATCGGGACTGGAGGAAATCAGCTTGATCAGAGGCTTTGACCACTCTGAGACCTGAGGTTTTCCCTGCTGAGAGAGACCACAGGATTGCCAGCAGCCCTCTGAATGAGAACAGGGTGGTGGGATTCACCCCGTAGACACGAGGACAGGTAGGAATGTGACCCCCAAAGTGGTTTTCCCCAATGTCCTGCTGGAAGGGTGATCACAGGTGASGATGGAACAGCTTCACAGCTCATCTGAGGGCTGCCTGCTCTCTCTACACGTCTCTGCCACAAGGCAAAAACTCCTTCTGACACTGATTGGAAAAGGGACTCTCAGTTGCTAGAGATGCCCATTTGGCCTTATTACATGTAACCTCCWATTAAACCTTTGAAATTTTACAGCCATATTTCTGACAGGGGATGCTATACAGGATGAAGGCACAAAACACACCAACTCTCCTTTCAGCACATCAGGGTAACTGCAATTGGAATGAGAAAAGTTTTGTCTCCATGCTAGAAGAGACCCAAAAGTGCTGAGCTGCAGGAGCAGCAGTGCTGTAAATCAGGATTGCAGGTCCTTGGGTCCATGGAAACCAGCTCAAGTGAGGGAACACTACCACAAGATGCTTTTATCATTACATTCTTTCCATCRTCTCCTCTAGGAGACATCAACAATGGAAGGTCACATAAATCTCATGAAAATCTGGAAAAATGACCGTGGCGGAAACTCCCACAGGAAGCACCACATATAACAAAAACCATCACAGAGTGGGGAGCAAAACAGCAGTGAGTGTCACCCCAAAGGACTGTGGAATCCCCATTCCCACCATCTCTCCCCTGTACTCCCCACTGTGAGACACCTGCCTGGTGACAGCAATTCCCTGGTCCTGGTGAGCAGTTTAGGCCACAGCTCTGACATCACCCAGTGAAATCAGCACCCCAGGGCACAATTAAACACCTTTATTCTTGTCTAGCAAAACTCTTGGCTGCCTTGACAGTGACTTTTTATAAGCATCCCACACAAGCTACCCCTCCAGGTGCCACCTTGCACAGCACAAGAGGAATCCCTTTTTCCAGCTGATTAGATACCATCACACTTTCCTCCCTTCAGGGAAAGCTGAGCCCCTTCAGTCCAGCACAGCACACAGAATATCCTGTGCTGAAGGGTTTGTATGGAGACACACTCCCAAGAGCCAGATTAAAGCTGACAGCTTCACCAGTGTGTGAGCACCCACACATCTCACTCCTCCTCACAGCTCACTCAGGAGTTGGGAGTCCCTTAAAAACAGTCCCATAAGGGTATGAGAAATAATCCCACCTCTAATACCGTTCATTAAAAAAAAAAATAGAAAAGAAATCTCAAGAGACTGCCAGGCTWCACAGGCTGCAAACATGTGTCTGTTCACTGAAAGATGATGACTAAAAGACATCTATTCGTAAATAGGTCAGGAATCAGAAGAAAAAGACCTGTCCATTTTCATGCAGGGGCACCCAAATCAAGCTTCAGTATACAACACAAATTCTGACTCCACTCAAATTCTTGATTCCTGCACCAAGTGAATAAAGCATATCTTTTAGAAAGAGATCAGGTTTTGGCCAAAACATGTCATGCCATGAAGAAAATTAAAATGCCCCATAGCTGTTTTATAATGGAAAATCTATTTCTCATAAAGAAAGTTGCCTCATAATTAATTCAAGCRATCGGATGAGAATTTTTGCCTGGATTTTGTCCTAATGGATTGACTGGTGCTTTTTTAATTGTAATTAGAAATCTGAGGAAAAGTAATAAATAGATGAGCTTCCAAAGTTCCAGGCTATACTTTTTTAGAGATACTTTTTTACATTTTTATGCGCACTTCTAGCTATTTTTAAAGAAAATATTAAATGGAACAAAATTTCCATAAAATAGATAAAGAAATACTTGCAAATCATTTTCTTACAGAAAAAAAAAAAGTCACAAAATGTCTGGCAAGACTTTCCTGCCCTTCTGCATCTCCCAAGGGCTGAGGACCCTCAAGAGAGATGCTGCTGTGTGCCGTGGATGTAACTCAGCAGGTGACCATCACAGCAATAAGTAAAGCCCTTCAGACCACACAGATGACTCAAGCGTGAGATGTAAATCCCTACAAATTGCTCCTGTTTAGACAACAAAATCTGATACCTATTTTTCCCCAAAAAAATGTTGAGTCCAGTCTTGGAAATTCACATGAACTAGAACCTGCAGGATCGGGCCCAATCTGTACACCTGCATCAAACCACATGTTCAAAAAACGCRGTTACAACCAAGCATTTTTGTAATCCTTGATACTTAATTTAATAGCAAGTCCAAAGCTTTAGTCAGACACTGAGATTTGGTGGACTTTTCTCTGTAACTCCTAAGCCTCGGAACCAAAACCCAGACAAAAAGCCCTTCTTGTGCCAGGGCTGTGACATCCCCTGTCCCATGGGGCTGAGTCTGAAAGGACCAGGAGGGCAAAGAGTGGGGAGAAAAGGACTGATAAACGAAGATAATACCCCGAGCCTGTCATTTTGGGGTGGATTATTTTAGAGTGATGCAGATTATGATTTGAYCTTAGATTAGCTGGGTAGAAGAAAAGGGACAGCTAGCTGAAAAGGAGGAAAATAAATTGTCCAGCAATTGGAACGCAGTGTTTACAATTGTTAATAAGAGAAAACACATTTCAACGAATCTCATGCTTACGGGCTGTTAACTCCGCAGATAAACAGAGCGGCCCTCCACGTGCAAATTGTTCTTGCAAATGTCCCTCTGCGTGGACAGCATCCCGTGGGCAAATATCCCCTTGCACACAGCATCCCTCCCTGCCCTGCCTTCTCCTTGCTTTCCATTCCCTGGAATTATCCTGCAGCTCCAACAGCGGTGCCCGCACCTGGGATCTTTGCTGGAACACCAGATTGTCACCTTCCACATCTCCCACGCTCTGCCGCGGGGTATTTCTCCACGGCAGACGGGAACAGTGTGTGGATATTCAATGAATTAAGGGATCGGCCGCGATCCCATCGCGCCGCTGCAGACCTCAGCACGGGGTTAGCTCTTTGCCCCCAGGCACTTTAGAACCAGGTTGGGTTGTCCTTTCTGCCCAAGGCTGTGGTCTGCAGTGCGAACGTCTCCTGCCTGAAAGGGTTTACAGAGGCAGCATCTCACTGCAATGGCTCTGATCTGCACTTCAACAAAGGCTTAAATTTAGTGTCCTCTTTCGGATTTAATCTCTGAGCAATTTGCAGAGCAGGGATGTAATTAGCCAGGGGCTGAACTGCTTAGCTGGGTGAAGGCAAACGCACCGAGCACGCTGCTGGGGATCACTGTGGGCTCCCCTTACAGGAGAGCCACCCTGACTCTTGGGGCGTCCTGTTCTTGATTTACGGTTTGGGGGATTAATCCTTTTGTTATTTGGGGGTTTAATCCCAGAGTGAGGCATCGTGCAGGAACTTGCCCCCCTCGGCAAACGGAGACCTTCCTCCCCACAAAAAAGTGGCGCAGGGGCAAAACACTCTCACCGTCGGTGATCTCCATCTCGTATGGAGAGGGTCTCCGCTTCACCCGGTTGCTGCCGTACATGGAGAAGGAGTCCGGTTCGCCGAAAAACCCGCTGCAAAGAAAGGCAGAGAGGCCGTGAGGACACACCGACATCCCCCCSTGCGGCGGGGCTGCGTCCGGGGCCAGCGGGAAGCGGAGCTGCTCCGTGACCTCGGGGGGAGCTCACGGCTCACGAAGCCGAGCCCGGGGTCGTGCGGCGACACCACACGCGGCTGCCCGGGAACACGCAGCAAGGGACGCCAGCCCAGGGTGGGATGTAAGCGGCGTGGGGCGTCCAGGCGGGCGTTTTAGGGCAAAATYCACCCCATTCCCGCGGTTGGGTGCTCCCCCGCAGGTGGGCATGCCGGTTCACCCGGGYCGGGTCTTTCCCTCGGAGGGAAGAGGGAATCCGTCTCCGCACACCCCCGGGCTGGCTCAGCCCCTGTCCGAGCCTCTGCTATCCCTTGCGATTATTTGCGGGACTCGTCAGAGGACAGAAGGAACCCGGGGAGCTCCGAAGAACTAAACCAATTCTCRTCCGTTTACTGACGGACCCCTTTGCTCTGCCCAGGACTTTTCCACTGTAAATATTTTTCATTCGAGGAACGAGTTTTCCGTTCATTTTTTTTTTCCTTTTTTTCCCCTTTCCCCTTTCTTTGCAAAGTTGCGTGCAAGCCTGCGGTGACTAAGGGACGAACCCCACGCGGAGGAAGGGGTGCTGCTGCTGCTGCTGCTGGCCCCGCATCTCCGCTCCGCACATCCCGCCGCCCCGCCACCGAGCACCCCTCGGGAAGCCGCTCCGGGATGGGATGGGATAGGATGGGATGGGATGGGATGGGATGCGGAGACACGGACCTGTTGATGGTGGCCAGCGGCTGGCCCAGGTTGTAGAGCATGGCCCTGCCGGGGGGCTGCAGCGGGAGCGCGGGGGGACTCAGCTGCACCATGCGGGCCTCGCAGGCGGCCTCGGCGGCGCGGCACGGCTCGGCTCCCGGAGCTCTCTGCATCGCCTCTCCCGCCGCCTCACGGCTTTTTATGTCCAGGGAGCCCCCCCGGCGCACCAGCTCGATGACGGGCACAGGGGCGGCGGGGGGCCCGGGGGAGGGCCGGCCCGCCTCCTTGGCCGCCCCGTTGAGCAGCAGCTGGGGGTCCGCCGGCGCCTCCATGCCCCCGCGGCTGCTCTCCGGCTCGCTCGTGGTCTCCGCTTCCGAGTCGTGCCGCCGGGCGGGGCGGGCATCGCGGGGGTCACTGGGGGGCGGCGGGGCGGGCGGCCTGTCCATCGTCCTGCGGAGAGAGGCAGCGCTCAGGGCCGGCCCGGGATGGGCACCGGGGGGGCTTTACCCTTSCACGGGCACCGCCCCGACGGGGAGGGCCGCTTTGGGGCTCAGAGCTCGTCGGTGAGAAACGGGGGTGTCACTGATCACCCCAAAGCTGTCAGAGTTTGTTGGAGGGACCGGGGAGGGGCTGCGGGTCCACCCCGCCGAACCGTGCGGTGCCGTGACGTCACGGGGCGCCCCGGCCCTGCCGTGACGTCACGAAGCCTCGCGGAGCGGCTCTTTGACGTTTCGCAGCGCCCCGGTCCCGCACGACCGGGACGGGCCGGACCCTCCCCACCTTTTCCCCCCTCCTGGAGCCCCGCGGGGATTCACATCGGTTCCATTGGGGCGGCTGCTGCAGCGAGGGGGTCTCGGCCAGYGCCCGGAGCGCCGCCGAGGGTGCGGGTTAAATTATGCGGCCAAATTACGGAGGAGGMTCAGCACACACGCCCTCATTTTTGKGGGGTATTTCTCCCCGTTTTGGRGTCCCCGGCGGTGTTTGCTGCCCTGTGGAACCAGCCCAGTCACGGCCCGGCCTGCCTGCAGCGGCCTTAGCCTCAAGGGCGRCCTCTTCTCCCATGTTTATTTTTTATTGTTATTTATAAACAATCGAAATATACCTGAAACCACTTTTTTGGGGGAGAGAGGGTTAAAGCAGCCGCTAACGGAGCCAATCCCCCCGCGCATTCGCTACCGCAGGAAGGAGGAAGGGGCCCGGCCGCGGCCGCACACAGCATTGTCCCCCTTCTCCCACAGAACAAATGCTGTCGCGACAGGGCACCTCGCGCCGAGGGCAGACAGCGATATCGCGATTATTTCTATGCTTTATCGCCCACATATTTCCTCGTTCGTTTTGGTGTTATTTTTGTTTGTTTGSTTGGTTATTTTTCCATATAAATAAAGAGCTTCATGGAGCAGAGAACTGCCACCCATCCATCTCGCTCCTTTGCCTCGGGAAATTTTTTATTTCGTTTCTGATAGGCTGAGTCGCGAGGAAAAACACCAATTTTTTTTTTGCTATATCTCACTATCGTGCTGGAAAATAAAATGAAAAAAAATACAACCACCCGACCTAAAGTGCAAGCTCTCTGCCTTCCCTCCAGCCCCCTTCCCGCCAGCCCTCTAGAAAGAAAAATCTAATTGCCTATTCCGATATTGTATAGGAAGAGATTACTCACATGTGTCATATTTAAGTAGGGACACCGCAAGTCTCTCCTGTTTCAACAAAAGCGCTCTCAGTGTCAGGCTGTATTTACTCCTCCCACCTCAAGGTACTTACGACTTTACAGAGAGGAAGGACACCCGCATCGGGATAAAACTGCTAAATCCTGGGAGGAAGAGAAGGGGGAGAAGAGAAAAAAAAAAAAAAAAAAAAAAGGGAGAGGGTTGATCTCGTGGGTCCGGATTGCCGGAGATCAGTGGAGGGAGAAAGGTGCAGGGGAGAGGGAAGGAGGGGACAACACCCCGGGGAGGCCCCTGTGATAGGGGACAGCGGCCACCCCCGGGTCCCCCCCCCGCTGCCGCCGGGAGCCGCCGCCTCGCACACGGGGCCGCAACGAGCGACGGCCATGGCCTGGCGTGGAAAAACAAATAAACAGAGAAAAAAAGGCGTGAAAAAAGCGCCCTGTATTTGGGGTGAATTGGGCGTTTTTTTGGACACATTGCAAGCCCGGTCTTCCCGGGAGGAAATCACAGACGGGGCCGGACACGGGGTTGTTTTTCTCCCGATGGGCTCGCACGAAGCGGCGACGGCGGCGGCGTTTCTCCCACGTCCGGCTGGAAAATTTAATTCCTAAAGGGGCAAATTAAATTCCTCAAGGGGCCGGGTACCGGCCGCGCTCCCGGCCGAGGAACCGCGACAGCCCGCTCCCCGCCGCCGAGCGACAGGAAGGCGAGGCCGGTTCACCCCGCCAACGAAATCACGAAAAATTAGGTTTTCCCCTTCTTAAAAAAAGAAATAATCCCGATGGCGCCTGTTCCCGCATTCGTTAAAAAACGAAATACAAAAAATCGCGAAGATATCAGTAGTATTTTGCCTTAAATTGGGGTGGTTTCGTTTGGAAAAAAAATGGAGGGGGGGCATTTTATCCCCGCCCGCTAGTTTCTGCTCCGTAAAATCCTTTTGTTTTCCAGCAGCCGATCGGCAGGAAATTTCCAACCTAAAAGCGCACCTCTCCCGCYGGCCCTTTGTAGGGAAATCGCCCCAAAGTGAAGGGGCTGGAGGGATATGGGGGACCCCTCTCGGGAAGAAGGGCTCAGGATCTGGCCGTCGGCAGGGCCGGSCCKTGTTCTGGTGTTTTTCCCTGGGGASAGAGGCTGGGGGACCCGGGCCCGGTGGGCGCTTCTCCCCCGGTTCCCCCGGGGCCGATCCAGCCGCCGCCTCGCTGCCGCAGCCCTGGGGTCCCGCGGCGGTGGGGGTGCCGCACCCCACAATTTCAAAGGCGAAAGCGCATTCTCCTCCTCACCCACCCCGCATCAAAGAATAAAAAAGATTAAAATCCAACCGCGGAAACGGTTTTGTGTTTCTTTTCTCTGCTCGCTTGTCTCTTACGTGGGGCAGAAGCCCCCCAAAACCCACTCGCTGCCCTTCGGAGCCCCCCAAAACCACATCCCGCTGTCCCCAGCGCCCAGAGCTCTGCAGAGCCGATTCCTCTTTACTCACCATTTGCTTTTCATTGGGAAAAGTGAGTGGAGCCATTTTGTGGCCTACGCATCGCGGCTATATTTGTAGTAAGTGTTGGGTGGCTTCAGCTGGGTAGGCTCTAATTCCACATCACGTCCAGTTTCCTATTTAGTATGGAGAGCGGAACACTACTGCAATGTGGCCGAGAGAGATAAAACCCCAGCAGTGGCCCGCCTGCCCTGATAAGCTTCTAAACCCATTATTTATGAAATGATTCATTATTATTTGGCAATTTTATCGAAGGAAAGCGGAAAATTATTGCAGGGATATGCATAGGAATAACTCCGGAATGCATGCCTTCTAGCTTTTTATGTGTGTGTGCTTAGATGCTCTTAAAAAGACACTGAAAAAAAAAAAAAAAAAAAAAAAAAAAAAAAA